TTTTTTTTTCTTGCTTTTGAAATCTCGCCAAAAAGTCTTAACAAATTTCAGTTTCAATGGGTACGAGTTTTCAAGATATTTTAAAATCTCTAATTGATACATTTGAGGCTTTTATAAATCTTAAAAAACTCGAGTTAAATATATATTTAAAGTCTCAAAGTCTTTAGAAATATCAAACTAATACACCATCTCGAAATCGCCACACACATGGTTTGTTTTGCGAGGAGCCGAGAGAGGTTTCAGACGAGTATTTCGATGATGGTTGCTTACCCTCCCTCCACTCTTCATTCTTCTTGAGAATCACCTAACAACATCCTTTTCCAATTTTACGCTTGAGGCATGTCGTGCGCCAAGTGTCGTCTCGAAGGGGGTAACTAGCGGTGGTCGATGTTAAGAGGCAGATGACTGACGGTAGTAAAAAGAAGAGACCGTCTGGGTCGACAGTGTTTGTGTTGCTACTTGTTTGGACTGAGCTGTAGTCGATTCTTTCTATACATATCTTCAAAGATAAATATGCTATATTTTAGTCCAGTAATGCTCATCTACCCACGGTGGACACATGTTAATATGCCCGTCGCTTATGTGCCATGCATACATTGGTGATATATATTTTTGACCATATTAACATCACCAATGTTTGAATGCCACATTAGCGGTGGGCATATTAACATGTGCCTACCGTGGGCAGTGGAGCATTATTCTATTTTAGTCAGATTTAATGATTAGTTTGCTCATACTCTTTAAAATATATATTCATATTTTCAAATTGAAAATTGAATTTAAAAAATAAATACATAAATAAATGTACGATGAATCGACTCGTCTAAGTTCCAACGATTGAGTCACTTTACACGAGAGGAAGATATATAGGCTATGTTTGGTAGACAAATAAGCTAGCTTATAACTTATTTGATTAGCTTATAAGCTCTATGTATTAAAATAAGTCTCGTTTGGTAGGACGAGAATTTTTAAGAAGCTCGAGCTTATTTGGTAAGCTTCTTTAGGTAACTTTTCAAATAAGCTGGTTGAATTTTTTATTCCAGCTAGCTTATCAGCTAATTTTACCAAACACTTTCATCATATAAGCTAGCTTTTCAGCTATAAGTTATAAGATATAAGTTATAAGTTTAAAAATATTTGATAAGCTATCAGTTAGTTTATCAGCTAGTTTTATCAAACATAGCAATAGTGAGAGAAAAGCGGGTACAACACAGGGCACACTAGCGCTTGACGGGCATGGGCTTACACAGGTAATTTTTCGCGAGCGCAGACCAAACCGAAAAAAGAAAGGCCCAAAATCAGAAGCCCAACATATGCAGCAACCGTAGGATCTTATTACCGAACTGCAAATCCTGACCGTCCCTTTTAGGTCACGCCATTTTGATCCTATAAAAACACCTTCAAAACCTCCATTTCCATTTTCTTCACTGCTCGCGCTAGGATTTTTGCCTCCCCATCCTTCTAAACCCCGATTCCGAATCGAAGAGGTTAAAGTGACGGCCCGCCGCTGTCCGCCTTGACCTAGCCGCCGCCGCTGCGTCTTGGCCCTCTTTTTTGTATCTCTTCCTTTCAGTTCTAGGGTTTTTCTTTAGCTTTGTAAATTATACCTTGTAGCTGAGAGAAATGGCGCCAAAGATTACGAAGGCCGAGAAGAAGATCGCTTACGACTCGAAGCTCTGCCAGCTGCTGGATGAGTACACGCAGGTTCTGGTGGCCGCCGCCGACAACGTCGGCTCGAACCAGCTGCAGAACATCCGGAGAGGGCTGAGGGGCGACTCTGTGGTGCTCATGGGCAAGAACACGATGATGAAGAGGTCAATACGTATCCACTCGGAGAAGACGGGGAATAAGGCTATTCTGAATATCATCCCTCTCCTAGTTGTGAGTTTCGATCTTGTTTTGTGTGGGAAGGTTCAATTTTATATTCTTACATTGATGTTCAAAGCTTTATTAACATTCTGTGTTGAAATCTGTTTGGGCAGGGAAATGTTGGGCTGATCTTCACGAAGGGTGATCTTAAGGAAGTCAGTGAGGAAGTTGCTAAATACAAGGTGATCTTTTCATCTTATACAGCTATTTTTAAAATATAATAGATCTGGTCAGCTGTTCTGTAATAAATTATAAAATTGATATGCATTTGATTAGTTTAGGGTTATACATTTTGTAGTTTACTGCGTGTGGTATCAGACCTGCTGAATATAATGATTTAGGTAGTATGTTTGGTGAGACAGTTGTGTTGACTGGATTGTGTTGTGGTTTAGCTGGTACTAAGGGACATAGCTTTGATATTGAATGTTAAAGCTCATGTATTGTTCTTCTTTTAACTTAGGAAAAGTTAGCTCCTTGATATTGTTGAAAGGATCTTATATGTGAAATTATTGCATGAACTTACACCCAAACTGTGTTTTATGTGGATTTTGTTTGTTCTTGCTCCTGAATATGACTGCAGAATTACCTTAGCTATAATTTTAAGTCTTGTCCATTGTTTCTGTATGATTGATATTTATAGCATTATCTATATCTGTATTATAAAAAAAAGGTAGAACTTTTAGATCTAATAGTGGGTAGTGAATGAGCATATTTAATGAATAGCATCATCTTATCTTATTTGCATTGCATCAATTGCCTGCCTTGCAAATCTCCTAACTTGTTTTATTGTTCTTTGTTTGACAGGTTGGAGCACCTGCTCGTGTTGGTTTGGTGGCTCCAATTGATGTCGTTGTCCCACCTGGCAACACTGGTCTCGACCCATCACAAACTTCCTTCTTCCAGGTGCTTCCCGATTCTCACATGAATTCTTTGTACTCCTTTCCCTTTTCCCTGATCCGTGATATTCTTACTGAGGAAACTTGTACAAATTACTCCACAGGTCCTCAATATCCCTACCAAGATTAACAAGGGTACGGTCGAAATCATCACCCCAGTTGAACTCATCAAGAAGGGTGAAAAAGTGGGCTCCTCTGAGGCAGCCCTTCTTGCCAAGCTTGGGATTAGGCCCTTCTCTTATGGGCTAGTTGTCATATCTGTTTATGACAATGGGTCTGTATTCAGCCCAGAAGTGCTCGACTTGACTGAGGATGATCTCATTGAGAAATTTGCTATGGGTGTATCAATGGTCACTTCACTTTCGCTTGCCATCTCCTACCCGACACTTGCTGCTGCTCCTCACATGTTCATCAATGGTTACAAGAATGTATTGGCTGTTGCTATAGACACTGATTACTCGTTTCCCCAAGCTGATAAAGTCAAGGAATATCTTGCTGTATGTTCTCTTCTCTCTCGTAATTTAGTTTGTGTGCTTTTGTGATGGCTTTGCTGATTTGATTTTTGTATGGAATTATAGGACCCGAGCAAGTTTGCTGTGGCTGCTGTGCCTGTTGCGGCAGCTGATAGTGGAGCTGCTGCTGCAGGTGGTGGTGCCGCCAAGGAGGAGGAGAAGAAAGACGAGCCTGCAGAGGAGTCTGATGATGACATGGGCTTCAGTCTTTTCGATTAAGTTGATTTCAGTATTAATTTTAATGCCTTGGTGTTTAGTTTCTCGTTTTTTTAATTTGGCACTTCTTTTAGAACTTTGCTTTCAATGTTTCATGTTAAAGACTTCGAATTCTGCAATTTGGTTGTTTTAAAGGATGTTTGTGTTTTGGCAAGTCGTGTTTTTTTTAATCATTATCGTTCTTATTGTCCGACCCTTTAGTTTTTCAAAATTTGCTTTAGTTATTCAAAATTTGCGTGATTCCTTGGAGTCAATTTTTATTTATTAAATTCATAAAGAAATATAGTTTTTTTTAATGGGTTTTAAGATTTTTAAATGAGTTTAAATATTAATTCGAAATCCTTTGAAATGTAGTGTTCTGATTCAGCCTGATTTTGTATAGGGAGCAAGCACAAACCATTCATGATATTGCTGGTATGCTTTAACAAAATAATCTATTTACATTATATATTACATTGACCAAGAAATATGGATTTAATGAGTATTAAGCATTTAAATTTGGTTTAAATTTTAAATATTTAAATACAATCATCATCATGTCACTCTTAATGCTGGTTAAGTTGTTTTTCATGAAAAAAAGTGACCCTGGAGAATTGAATTACATAACATTTCATGTACAGTTCCAGAAAAAGAAAAAACAGCAATGCATTCGCTAGACTTAATCAAGAACGACTATTCAATCAATTCTTACGTAAACTTATACTCAGACAGTACAAACAAAACTCGGCCGCTAACACCCAAAACAGCAGCAAACTAAGAAAATGCAGCAGTTGGTCCTGGAAGAAAATTGTCCAAAACATGCAGGCTTAGCAAGAAAATACAACCCACTAAATAATCTGGGCAGCTGTGTTAAGCTTTTCCGCTAGGCTGAGTTGTGTTCTTGTTATGCTCGACAAATATAGTAGCAGCAGTTGGTCCTGCAAGAAGATCAACTCTGTATGAGATAGTTTTTCAACCATGAAAAAATCGAACCCCAATTAGGCCATAGTTGATTGAAAACTACACTATATTTGGTATCATTAGCTTCTTGTGAAAAAATCGCGATCAATTAGGCTATAGTTGATTAGTTGTGGTCTTCATAAAAACATAAGGTTCTCCTAATAGTGTAATTTTTCCTTTTTCATCCATTTATATCTGCCTACAAGTATGAATTCTCAAACTCGCAATCAGTTCGATATTTTCAGAAAATTGGAAATCACAGTATATTTGGTATCACTAGCTTCATATGGAGCAGTATAATGAGATAAAAATTATATACCTGCAGACCATCATTCATGAGTTTATCAAAAACATGTGGTGGTAGTTTGGGGAGGGATGCTATGGCATCATATATGAATCTCCCAATTTTAGTATCGGCAGCAATTCGCCCTTCCTAAATTAGGATGAGAAGAAAAAATCAGTCACGAAAACTGAAGAGGCCCAAAAATCACAAGCCCCAGGTAAAAAAAAAAAGCCCTAAATTATCTTACCACAACATCATCAACGTATTTATAGATTTCATCTATTAAAGCACGCAAACGTTCCATAGAGGCCTCCATTCCCTCCAGATCGTTTGGAATCTTGTCGACATTCGTTGGCTTAAGCACATCGACTGTAGATATATAACCCCCCCAAAAAAAAAAATCTTCACAAAATGGCGGGAAAATATGGGATGGCACTAAATTAACAGAGTTAGATGGATACATACATCCAATACGCTCTGCCTCGACCATGCGCATGTCCAATGGGATTTCTTGAAATTGCGCGGCAAGCTGTTGATCACCAAGAGACAGATTAATCGCGACAAATGCTTTGATAGCGGCAGTTCCACTCCTAAATTCGGTGTCAACGGTTAAATGAACAGGATTGGTGATCTCTCGGGAGTAAAACTCGTGGATTAAAGCACTGCCTGGAGTCACTCCACCAGTTGAGAACCTGTAGACATATGCATGTACGAACGAGATTATAATCAAATTCCAATCTAAAAATCTGTAACAGCTGCAATCAAGCAGGCCATTCATTCTCATTCATAAATCAATGGTCTGCTAATCTAAATTAAGTAGGTGGAGTCAAAGGATGCTACCAAATGACTTGGCTTATGGCAATATCATAGTACAAGATAATAAATAATTAGCAATCAGGAAAATTGACACAAATGTATTATCAAACAACTTCACTAAGTGGAAAATCTTTTAGGTATGGGCATAGGCCAAAACACACAAAATGCCTAAAGCTGCATTTGACATACATAACCAACATCATCTCTACTTTGAGTAAAATAAAAGATGTTGAACTTACAAAATTAAACCGTGTTCCGAAAAGCAAAGCTGTAAACATAAATAGTAATGGACAGTGAAAATCCTAGAAACTGTAGGACATTTCATATGGTATTAAAAACAAGATAAATGCAGAACCAAGCTTGGAAGATCAAAATCCAAGCAACAATACATGCAGAAAACTCGCACGCATATGACAATATAACTTATACTACAAAAGACAGATTAGAGTACACATTAGAAGTTTTAAAAAGGAAGTGGAATTTGCATAGTTAATAAAAGATTACCATCCAACTATAACTTCCTTCGGGTTCACCTTCCGGTGGGACGCCAACATATTCTGATGGTAATCAATATCCACTGCAACCTAACTCATCAAATCAAATTCAAAGGACAAAAAAAAATCAAAGAAACAATATTTTTTTCTAAAACAAATCATAGAACACCAATAAATTCCAATTTAATCGAACTCGGAAAAAACAAAGGAGAAACTTATTTTTACACTCCACCATCATAACAGAGCACCTCATAACAACCCATCCAATAAAATAGCTCCGGATAAAACCAGCAATTTACAATGCAATTCAATTCAAGAAACAAAAACCCTTATAACCTGATCCGATGACTCATTGTGGGGGACGGCGTAGGAGTTTCGAATGTCGACCGTGCCGTCGGGTAAAACCGATCCCAGGAGCGTGCCGATGACGCGCTCGGCTTGGTCGGGCCGCCTCACGTAACAGTCGCAGATGTTGTACACGACAAGTGGATGAACCCTAGCCGACACGCTTGTGGGCGATGGTACGAACTGCAGTACGGTTTGTTCGTTGGACCCCATTTTGCTTCCCTGATGCAGAGAGATGAAGGTTGATGAAGAAGAAAGCAGGTGAAATTCTAGGGTTATTAGGTAATAGATAATGGGGCCGCCAGTACAACTGATGGGCTATCTCTAATGGGCCCTCTTTTTTATTTGTATTTTTTGTTGGGCTGTATGGAGTGTATTGAACTCTGAATTATTTATGTTTTACACCTTCTTTATGGAATACAATAATTCTTTAATTTTTGTTGTATATTTGAGTTTGAATATGTGTAGTAGTTTTTTATACATTTTTTTTTTTTTTTGAGTAAAATCTCAATTTCTTAATGGTATTGTGATTTTCCAAATTTGATGTGTGACACATCTAATTTTGTTTTTCTTTTCATTAACTAAATTTTAAATTTATCAGTTTTCGAATAAAATTGATTTACTTACGTAACATTGTGAATCAAATTCGATTAAATCGAAGTATGAAGTAGAAATAAAAAACGATAACAATGTGTGTGTATCAATGATTATTTTTCCTTTATTTATAACTTAAGAAAAAAACATAAATTAAAGTTTGAATTGATAATTTCGTGAATGGAAGACATGAATATTTTCCCTTATTTATAACTTAAGAAAATATATAAATTAAATTTCGAAATCATAATTTTCATGACTGGAAGATTGAATTTCTGTGTGTTTTGTTGTTGAGTTTCTTGGATCATTATGCAATTTCTTGTGATTTAACGATTTGGAATAAAATTGACTAACTAGTAGACATAATATTACATATATTAAAATTGATTAAAAATTAAAATATGAAGTACCAAAATCAAAAAACCTTGTGTACCAAATTACCAATTAATTTCCCCCTTTTATTTATTAACTTGACAAAAAATGGCAATATTGCAATTTAGTCCTATTGATTTGATATAGTGACATTTTTAGTCTTAAGAATTAAATATTTTTGTTATTTGGTCATATGATTTTAAAATCAACGCAATTTCAGTTATTTGGGACTGAAAATACAACAAAATTTAAAATTATAGGACTTAAATTGCTAATAAAAAGTTTTTCTATTAGCAATTTAAGTCCTGCAATTTTATTTATTTTTACAATGTCAACCCTAAATGACTGAAATTGCAGTAAAATATTAAATTATTAGATCAAAAGACAAAAAATTGAAATTTTAGAAGTAAAAATACTATGGCCCCGTTTGGAAGATAGCGGATTGAATGCAAATTAGCGGATTGAACTTAATTGAGAGGTTTGACCCGTCAAATCCGCTATTGAGCATGTTTGGTAAATAGCTTATTTGATAAGCTTTTTGGACTCAAAACTCTAATTTAGAAAAAGCTCATTAGAGGAGCTTTTTGGGGATAGAGGATTCACAATCTACTATTTTAATTTGAAACTTTTTAATTTGTATTATTTATTTTACAATCTACATTGGTTTATAGTGCTAATAAATAATAATATGTCATCCATATGATTAATTTATCTAGAAAAATGTAAAATTCATAACTTCTTAATCAAGTGTTAGTAAATTTAAAAAAAAAAATATTTATAAATTACCAACTAAAGAATATTAAATGTTTTAATATATTATTATTAAAAGAATACATACTAAATAATAAAATGTCCTTATTGGTAATTTGCAATGTCAACCATCTATAAGCTTTCAGCTATTTACCAAACACTTATTTAAAAACCGCTAATGCAATCCGCTGGTCAAATCAGCTAATATAATCCGCTATCCGCTATCCGCTAATACAATCCGCTATCCGCTATCTGTTATCCGCTGATCGCCAAACAAGGCCTATATCTAACATCGTTAAACTAACGAGCAGGACTAAAAATACAATTTTACCACAAAAATATTTATATAAAGTAACCAAGCGAGCATGTTTTGTCTTTCCGCCCACGATACTGAAGCTCATAAGCCCCAAAATAGAAGAACAAAGTAGAAAAAAAATTGGAATCTTGAGGAAACATGGACGTGATTAAGTCGCAGCAGATTTCCTCACGGCCGATCGAGAAAGTGGTGGTCCATCCGCTGGTGCTGCTGAGCGTCGTCGACCACTACAATCGGGTGGCGCGTGACACCAGGAAGCGCGTGGTCGGAGTTCTTCTCGGGACATCATTCAAGGGCACGGTCGACGTCACCAACAGCTACGCCGGTCTGTCTTCTAGATCCCATCACTTTATTTGAGAATTCTTGTGAATTTTGTACTGTTTGAGTGTTGGTTGATTTGAATTTTGATTACAGTTTGGAGCTAGGTTTTGCTGGTAGGTGGTTATGGTGGTCATTAAGGTTTTGAGCTTTAGTTTCTTTTTCGATTGATAATGAACTGGGGTGCATCAAAGTTTTGTATTTATTGTATTAGGTATTGTTTTTGAGGAGGGAGATATTTTGTGTATATTATTGATGTTGAAGCTATGGGATTTGGGGTTCATTGAGGTAAGATTTGTTGTGGATTTCAAATTGTAAATGTTTATGAATGCACGGTGAACGATTAGAGCTTGATTAATCTATGTTTGGGGTATTATTGTGGATTTGTATACTGAATGTCAGGGTGCATAATTTTTTTTTTTTTCTCACCAAGGGGTAGAATTTCTGTATATTTTCAGTAGGGCATATCGTTACAACCTTTGAGGCGCAATTGGATATAAGATTTTGGTTTTTTGAAAAAAAAAATTGTCTGCAATGATCCCCTTTTTTGGTCCCCATGTTGCCTAGTGTTATGCTTCATACTTTTCTTGTTCATTTGTTTTGGGAGAGTCGATTTAATGAGTTCATTCAAGTATACTTTTTCTTCATAGCGTATGATAACTTATAACTTAGTTTTTATTATTGAGTATTTCAATAAGCTCTCTTTGTATCAGATTGTAGATTTAGTTATGCGGCCGTATTTTTTTCTTCAAAACATTCAGTCTACTTTTCAGAACCATTAGTTCTACAATTTTCTGAATGATTGCTTTCTTGATGATAAACTTGTTCCTTAAGTCGACTTTCAGATACCAATAAATACCTTTTTTTTTGTGTTTATGTTTGAATAACTCTGATTTCATGCATCTGCTTGCTGATGTTAGTTTACTTTGATCAATATGATGTGCGAGTTTTGTAGAAGCAATGTTCAAATTTTATTCCGTAGCTAGACTTTCACTCTTTGGAAATTTTGTGGTTCATTATTTTTGTCTCATTAGTCATTTATTTCTGAATTTGTTTCAATTTTCTAATGGTAAACTCCAGTACTGTTTAATTTGATGCTCTTACTAACATTTGTGCACCAACATGAGCAGTTCCTTTTGAGGAAGATGGCAGGGACCCGAACATCTGGTTTCTTGATCATAACTACCATGAATCAATGTTTTCCATGTTCAGAAGAATCAATGGTTTGTTCTCCTGCTAAGAAAACTTTAGTTTCTTACTAAATATTTTCTGAAATGTGGATATAATTTGATGTGCAAATAATCTTATATCAGCAAAGGAGCATGTTGTCGGCTGGTATAGCACTGGCCCGAAACTGAAAGAGAATGACCTGAATATTCATGAGCTTTTCAACGGGTAAGATTTCTTTCTGTATGAAAAGGTTTCATTTTCATTTGTTGGGTAGTAATTTGCGAGAAGGATCTTTTCTCTGTCGATAAATTGCTGTTTTTTGTCTTTGTTTGAATCGCATGGGAAACAAATTAGTAGTCTACTGGAGTTACAGATCTTTGTGGCAATTTAGTTACTTTTCCCTCACCAGTGTTCATAGCTTGGTTACAACTTTTCTTCTTCTTCTTTTTTTTTTGGTGAAATCTTACTTGTTATTCCAGGTATGTTCCCACTCCATTGTTAGTCATTGTCGATGTTCAGCCGAAAGAGCTTGGGATCCCTACCAAAGCTTATTATGCTGTTGAGGAAGTTAAAGAGGTATAAGGAAGTAAAGTTTTGCATGCTTAATACTTAGTTACACTGCCTGAGCTCTTTTGTTAAATCAAAAGAATCCTTAGAGATGTGTTTTGAAGAGGAAACTGAAATTCATCATCTGTAAGTGCCAAGTTGTGAAATACATTACGCGAATTCGCTATCTAAATGATATTTTGGTATGAATTTACAGAATGCCACTCAGAAAAGCCAGAAGATATTCGTGCATGTCCCTTCAGAAATTGCTGCCCATGAAGTTGAAGAAATCGGTAGGGTCTCACACTGTATAGAAAAATATGTAACTTTTCCATTTTGTCATTATTTTTAAGGTTTTTCCTATTTTATGTTCCCATTTGCTTCGTTGTGAATTGTATTATGTTAGGAGTCGAACACTTGCTGAGGGATGTGAAGGACACAACTGTCAGCACTCTTGCAACCGAGGTTCTTTTTAAATCTTAACATCTTAGCCTTCGTTTCGAGTCCTGATGTATATGTCAAAATATTAAATCCTGATATTAGTTGAGGAAATAAGATTTTAATTTTAATTTTTTTTACCATTTTTCTTCTTAGGTGACTGGAAAACTAGCTGCTTTGAAGGGGTTAGATGCACGGTTGAAAGAGATCAGAAGTTATCTTGACCTGGTTATTAAAGAGGAGCTCCCGTTAAACCATGAAATTCTTTACCATCTTCAGGTATCATTTTTCCGCAATCCAACATTAAATTTGTAACACAAAAGAATTATAACACATATGGATTCCATCTTGATAAATTGTGCCTGATTTATGCAGGATGTGTTCAATCTCCTTCCAAATCTTAACGTGACTGAGCTCGTTAAATCGTTTGCTGGTAAAGTCTGATGATACTAATTGAACCATTGGCTATTTATTTACTTCATGATAGACGTAAAAAAAATGTTCATTTTTTTTTTCCCCCTTCTTTTCTTGTTTGGCAGTGAAAACAAATGATATGATGTTAGTCATATACCTATCATCCCTAATCAGAAGTGTAATCGCACTCCACAATCTGATCAACAACAAGGTGAGAGAAAAAAATAATATGGGTTTGACTTATAAAATATGATTTTATATAACGATATATGGGTTTGACTTTTTTTTTTCTTGAAAAAAAAAAAAACGATGCAGATGCTTAACAAAGAACACGAGAAAGCTGAAGACTCTAAGCCGGTTGCTGTGCCTGCCGCTGCTGGCAGCTAAAAACAGAAAATTTTCTCGATAGAGTTGGATTTTGGGGTTTCATATTTCTAAATTTGTCGTTAAACGTGATTTAATGTGTTGAGGCTACATTTAGGGCAAGTATTTTCTTGATTGGATTTATACCTTATCGTGTCAGATTGCACTCATGAAAAATCGTCACTTAGCATGAATTTGAACTCAATGCTCTTATTTTGTACCATCTTATCGAACAAAAATATGAGCTTCAGTAAACATAATGTTCGGTTATTGATATTCTTCGTGTTGTGTTATTTTATTGTGATAATATCTGTGCACCCTTTCTTCAGATGAACAAGAGATGGTGTTGATGATGCGATTTCGATTAGATTATTCTTATCTGTTTTAGTCTGTGGCTCGTTCGAAGTGTGCAAGTGATTTTTCACTTGAAATCGTTTGGAGATATACGAAGTTCTTGTGAATTTTTGTTCACGCATGTCCTGATTAGTATATTTATTCTCTTAAAAGTTTCAATAAAATATACAGAAGTATGACATTTGATTTGTAGTTAATACATATCATTCTTGGTGTATGCAGCTCTATTAATTATACAATCATACATGACTACGCAGCTTTATTAATTGTAATATAATGCATTTCTACGAGAAATGATCAAATCCAAATGATAATATATTTAAGTAAATTTAAATGATGATACATTTCAATGAATTCCAATCTTAATTTCAATAGATATTCCAATGTTATATATCTTCTGTTAGAAATTCCAACAGATTTTAGTTGTAATTCGATGATTTCAACGTTAATTTTTCAAATAACTAAAACAATCAACGATAAGAAAAATTGCGTGTTCGATGTTCCAATCGAAATTCTTACAATAATAAATCGTTGGAATGTAGTTGTTGGAATCATCAAATTTCAATTAAATTTCAAAAAATAAAAAATTATGACAAGTCAATTGGTTTAATGAGTTAACAATCCAACAAACAGCATTTCTACTTTGTTCTTGTTTTCATAATTTAATTTTGTTGGATCAAATTCATGACTAACAGAAATTCAAGACATTCTAACTGCAAACTAACCATTGTTAATTTAATTCAAATAAAACTAGTTGTTGGGCAATAATATATTAATTTATACCTTAGACTAATAACATATGATAGAAAATCCATTTCTTTTAAATTAGATTTATTGAATCTAGACACATTTCAATCTCAATTATGTGTGGTCTAATAACATCTGATTTGAACTTTTTGAATGTTAATTTGATACCAATCATTCTTATTTTATTGTTGCAATTTGATGAATCAATTAATGTTTAATTTATACACATCCCTCATTACCAAGTCAACTTACATGCACAAAAAAGCTATAAAAAAGAGCACCCTATTTGACTTTCAGGTATTTTAAGACAAAATTGTATAATAAAAAACACAATGAATGTTATCATTAGGCAAATCATTGTTGCATATATTTCCATCAAATACCATATATATGTCACCAATAATTTAATTTGTATCCAACACTTTGAGAATATACATACACAAATATATGTATGTATATTTATGCTAAAATTGGTATATGTGTTATATACATTTATTTACCAAAAATGATAAAAATGCAGGTGGGTATATCTACAATCAATTGTAAAGAGTAAGGTACAATTGTTCATTTTTAAATGTTCTATAATAACCAAGTTTTATTTAAACGCTTAAAATGCAAAATATGTGAACTATTTGATATTTAGACCTCTAAAAAGGGCCAAACATTTTTATGTGAATAGTAGTGAAATTCAAATTTAACACATCTTATGTAGCATGATTTTGATTACCATGCTAATTCCCATTCAATATTCCTTAGTAGAGACACCCTCTTTATAAAGATATTATTCGAACCGAGTTGTTCAAAAATGCAACTTGGTATTGCTGATCATGATATATAACTCAACCTCGGCTCGCTCCTTTGTTTAAACGAGTTATGTTTAAACAACTAATTGAGCTCCTTTATTAATTTAGTCTCGGCCTAGTTTGCTCGCAAGCAAATAGTCTTTTCGTGTATTTTACAATTTAATCTAATTTTTCTGTGGGTATTTCATTTATTAAACAAACAGGGTAAAATCGAGTTTAACAAAGTTTTCACATGCTTAAAATAGTTGAGTTGACTCATTTACTAAACAAGTACGAGCTCAAACACGATATGTTACCAACTCGACTTGAATAACATCACAAATGAAAGTAAACCGAAAAGTATTTTGAAAGTCATTTCATAATTGGTAATAACAACACAAGTTACAAAATTACTATGGTGAATGTCCAAGCCAAATACAATTTTTTTTTCCCAACAACCATCTATCCAACATAGATATATTATATAACGCGCATAAATGTGTAAAAGAGCATTCACCAGCTGAATATAAACAGCTAACAACTTAATACAAACAGCCAACAACTGAAAAAGTGGGAGGACATGTCAAAAGACCGCCTAGAACCGACACCAACGGGGTAATACCGGGAACACAAAAACATAACTAGAAAACAATACACGAAGACCCCAACAGGGTAATGCCTTAGTGTTGATCCTAACAGGATAATAAGTTCACTCTCGGGCGCACAGAGGCCAAATGACCCAGACCAAAAAACACAAACCTAAACAATACAAGCACAAGCACAAAGAGAATAATATAAGACAAACAGATCTAATCTACCAAATAACAAGGCTCTTCCCCAACGGTTAAGCCAAACTCTGCACAAGACACCAGCGAAATAAGGACTATCCATCCCACTACGTGACCCCAAATTCGGAACGCCACTCCCGCCACTGTCTAATGCCTAGCAAAGGACGAGTCCCAAACCTCAAACCACTCCAAGGAGGAAGTCGACCCAAAACCAGAGGAGAATCAACCAGCCGCCCACACACCAACTATCAGAAATTCGGCTAACACCACTGGTCTAGATCTGGGCGTGCCGGCATCCTGAAGCCACAACACCAGCGGAACAGGGACCCATGAGCGAGGATTGATCCACCTCAGCCTCCGGCCGTCGCGACTCAGAATAACCGAGCAACTAGGGCCGCACCCAACACCCCAACCACACACCATCCTTCAGCAGCCGGACCCAAATCGGGGGAGAAGTCGTCGAACCTGCCATAGACCACCATACTAAGACAGAGTTGACAAGACGACACTGGGAAATCACACATCGGAGCTGAGAATCGGACCCACATCAAAAGTGGAGCCATCGAACCCGTCGTCGACAACTGTATAGGGACGAAATCGACCAAAGACCTCCGAGAATCCACCTACGAAGCCGAGAAATTCTCGATGGGCGACCTCCTCGAAAAGAGCATCGGCCGACGCACCTATCTCATCGTCGAAAGGCGCGAACCAACAAAGTATGGCATAAAAATCGAGGCATGTTAGCGCTGCTTAGGGCCATCTGCCGGCAAGGCCGGCTTTTCGCCAGGGAAGATGAGAAAAATGAATCATCGACGAGAAGATGGATTCGAAGATTCGGGGGAGAAGGGTTTCGAAGGAGAGCCCATCTCTTGTTCAAACTATACCAAATGCTCATAACTCCATTTATTAAATTTAGTTCTATAAAATGAACTTTTCCCGTCTTTTTTACTTATATAATCTATATATATATATATATAATTACTAGCTAATATCATTTAATAAAACCTATTTAATTTTACCTATGTGGCAATTTAACATTTTACCTAAAAAAACCGTTACTTTTGTTGTATTTAATTTTTCATTTAATTAATAAATATTCAACACTCATCACTTCAAAATTACAAAAAATCATTCTAAACTTTTGACTAATGACAATTGACCATGTAATGAATTGACCGTATAATGTCAGTAGATGTTATTATTGTAGTTACATTTAAATTATATTTTTAAATAAAAAAAATATTTAAAATTTCTAAATAGATAATAAATAATTCACAAAAAAAGACTTACAAAATATACATTACATCCAATCGGATAAACGCAGTTTAATAAAAATATTTCAATTCCTTTAATTGTAAATTTGCCCTGCAAATAAAGTGAAAAAATAATTAATCATTATATGCATACAAATAACTCACAATATTTTTTTTACATATGTGCAAATACACAGGATTGAATACTAGTTTTTGTAAATTCGGTAAGTCCATTTTAAATTTATCACCAAATACGAATCATTCATCCAGATAAAGTTTTACATCCAAACTTCTATTTTAGAAGTGTTTTCAAATAAACTCTGAATTCTCGACACACATTTTTAAGTGCAAAAACAAATTTCATCTTCGACCCGAAAACCCGAACAACCAACCCGAGACATACTCCATGAACTCCGGGTCGGATTCCAACCCGGCCATCGTCTCGGGCGCTAGGACCACCTCTAGGTCGACCGACCCGCCCCCTTCCCGACCCGGAAATGCCGATATCTTCCCGTCGAATTTGTTGGCCCGCCCGCTCCTCACGGCCACCGGCGGGCCCCACCCAAAGTCGTTGTCGTAC